AGCTCCAAACAGATCGTTCTTCTAACTGTATCTTAAAAATTACTTCAACTTTTTAAAAAACACGTTACCGTATTCTAAACATATTAACGAAGTAATTTATGAGAAAAAAACGATTTTTGAGCCCATCACAAGGGATAATCCCAATAATCTTCCGGAAGGATGTAAAGCGTAAAATTAAACAAGCAAGGAAGAGCTACGTTCGGGTGTAACCGAACTTTTTTTTTACTCGCAATTTGCAAATTAAGAAGCTTTACAGATTGGCCAATATATAAGGTATAAAGCCAAGCGGATGTTTGGAAATCCGAATATTAGGTATATGGGAACTAGTATTGCCTTGATTTATTAAACGGAGACTCTTTCTGAATTTCATAAAGATTTCTTACATATTAACCCATAGATGCGGTATAAAGTCAACTGGAAGTTCGAAAATATTTATATTAGGAAATAAGGCAATGGGAAGTATTGACCCGATTTTACTTATTTTGGGCACAGGTAATCTAGCAACTATTGTAATTATCGAAACCCTGAATCCATCTAATCTAGCAGAAGAACTCTTAAATATTCCAGCTGTTTAGATAACTTTATCAATTAAACTTCACATTTTTACGGGCAATATATATCACACATTCAGTTTACTATTCTATCATTCCTCTGCCTGCCGTAGTTTTATTCTTATGCGTTAAACACATAGACGACTGAACTACACGACTTCAGCGAGATTTCCTTGGCTGCAAATGGCGTCTTGAAGCCAGCTTCTTGAACATTTTGAAGAAGTCAGCGACATATCAAACAGCTGATATACACATTCTCGTTGTTGCCGTACTTCACTTCAAGGAAATTTATTTATTTTTTTCAAAGAGAAATTTTTTGTGCAAAAAATAAGTAAACAGGTCGACTTATTTGATCACTCTTCATGTGATATGTCATATGAAAACGAGCACAAAAGCATAAAAAAGTTTTAATGACCTCTAACATTTTATGTAGCTTTCATCAAATGGTTGGATAGCAAACTTAGTTTAGTTTTATGTCTTTCTACCTTTATCAAACACCACTTCACTTTTCCGCTTCAAAAGTTTTTTTGTTACTATAAAGCTTAGCCGATTCCACCAACCTTTCGACAAAATTCGGACAAAAATGTTTGCATTAACCTTCATAATCATACACACAAGTCCCTTGAACTTCGCTTCGCAGCCCACTCTACAAATATTTCAGCAAAGCAATTGGTCAGATTTTGCCGAAAATATGCGCAACCGTAGTCTAACGCTTTATGCGTATAGTGTATTAATTTGAACAAAGTCGTAAAAAATTAAATACACACTAAGTGTCAGTTTATGGCGCTGCTGATGATACGAGTCCAGCCGCGGCTGTAAGTTTCACTTAATCACTGCTACCGAACAGATATCTGCTTATTAACGGTAATAAAAGTCAAAAAGTGACAAGTGGAAGAAAGGCAAAATGACGCGCATTGGTAGTTTGTGTTGTCTTTTCGCCACCTAGGGGTTTTTGCTTTTTCTTTGAGATCTTGCATTGGTTAATTGATATAATATTAGTCTTAAGTATTTATTTATTCGCTGCCAAATAGACAACTTTCACTTTTACTCCTTCTTATCGCTCCTATTAATTAGTAAACGCCTTTTTGTTGTTGTATTTAAAGGGAAAATATGAATCTTTGTGAAAAAAGTGTGTGATGTAAATCGGAGCCGTTTTTACATTTTTATTATTGTATAAATTGCTGGAATATTTAAGTGGTTAGAGTTAAGTTAAGTCAGCAATTAAAAGTCTGCATAATTTTTTGTGCGCTCGAAAAAGAATAAAAGGAAGTAATTATAATTAACGTTTTCGTTTTTTTATCTCTTAAAAAACGTTATTTGATTCTTTTTAAATAAGTAAAATTCGGAAATGTGCCAAGTATTCTGAAACATGCAAGTCGCTTCTTTGCAAATTGAAGCAATAGAATTCCATCCAACTGCTTTATAGGTAGACCTAATTTTAAATAGGCACTTGTAGACACTGTGAGATAACTAACTCTGTTATTACACGGTTATTGATCATATACAGAATAGGTGATTGGTTCCTTATCATTAAACCTATTAAAATTAGTTAAAGAGAAGGATTTTTTAAGAACAAATATTAATTTTTATTTTATTAAATCACATACTATATAATGTGTACCTACATAAGCATAGTTATTAAAGAAAAAAATATATGCACTCTAAGCTGATGTGAATTAAATGTAACATATAACAAGTTCAGCAACCAAAAACTATTATGTAAAACAGCTATGTTGTTAACAAACAGAATAGGTTATTCAATTTTTAAGGTAAGAAAAAAAAATTAATAAAATGATAGTCATAAAATAATTTTGATCTGGACTTTCTCTTGCCCGCTCGGCGTTTACATTTTTAACAGCCACAAAATGGTATCCTAATTTATTTGCAAGTTGAAGTCCTTCTTTAATTAAATTTGCAGCAAGTTTAACAGGTTCTTCACTATCACTGTGGTAAAATGTAACATTTCAAGACCTTGATCAAGCAGCAGTTCATCACTGTCATTAAATACTAAGTCATCAAAGAGTTTTATTTTTATTCAAAATGTCCAAAATGTATTGGAATGAAATTTCTGGCACAAAATATTTATTGAACCAATCTGTGAAAACTGTAGTTGTCACCCATGTATTTTTATTAACCTTTATTGGTCTTTCAATTGACCGGCTATCTTTCATTGCTCGAGTCTTAAGTGCATTACTGCAAAATAAAAATTTTACTCGACCTTTTTGAGCTTTAAAACCAACAGCACTCTTTTGCGATTTGGCCTCATAGGCTCTTCTCGGCATATTTTTCAAAAAAGAACAGTTTCGTCTGCATTAAAAACTTGATCTGGACTGTATGCAGCAGCGGCATTTTTTTTTTTTTTTTTGTGTTATAGCGAAAATTCTTTGGCAGATTTCTGAATCCAGAAGCAATTTCGCTCTTGATTTTTATGTTATGAAGCGCATGCATTTGGAGAAATCCTCTCAACCATACTGTGTTTGCAGAAAATAAGAATCTCTTCTCAGAAGTTGATTGTGTTGCTGCTTAATGCTTTCTGTTTGACATTGTTTTTGTCAAGTCATATTATGTGTGTTTTTCCATTTTTTCTTTGGTAGCAACGTTTCACCATTTCGTAGGCGATTTAAAATTTTAATGTTGATTTACAAAGTTTTGACCTTACGTTTTAGTTTTGTATTTGCGGTTTTAGACATTTTCTTTTAGGGATGCATAAAATATTTAACAATTTGCATTTGTTTATGATATTCCAAATTATTTTTGTACACAGCAACCAAAAGCATTGTAATTCATATCTACTGATTCAGACTTCAATGCTTAAAAAGAAAAAACTGTGTATATATGTTATACGAGTAGTGTTGAAAAAATAACGGGTATTTTAAAGTTAAAATTTCCGGCGTTTAGACAGTACAATTGTCAAAATACGAAATACGATAAAAATTGTCCGCTGCATTCATTACTTAGAATACTTAGCTGACACGACACATAACCGAAGCTTTCGAATTCATAATTTTTGCTATCTAAGAACTTGATTGTGACTTCGACGTTAACTAAAGGGGCAAGTGATTTAAAGTTGTTCAGAAAAAATGTTTAAAGGAATTAAACAAGTTCCTACAAAATCTGTATAATTTGACCGTTTACGAGTGAAAGCTTAACTAAAAGTGGATTCTAGTGTTGTCAACACTTTCATTTCATTTCTCCTTTCGTTTATCTTTTTGAACTAACGGCGCTTTTACGTTTATATTTGCATCGTTAAAGCGCCGTCCTGCTCTACACACGTATCATATGAATGTGCACTGTGCAATGTGTATATTTTACCTGTATAATACATATGAATATGTACATATTGTCAATAAAAACACACATTTTGGTGAATCATTCAGTGTTTGCTTAATCAAAGGCCATAAATTACGCCAGTGGAGCGTCTGCAGTGCAAAAAATCCAGCGCTGATTCGTTGCACTAAATGCATTGTGTATATCTACAGACAAATACCCCCTCTAATAAAAAACAAGAAAAAACGTTAACTCCGTTTGCGCTGAAGTTATAATACCCTTCACAAATACAAAAGATTGTATGACATTTATATGCTAGTGGTCCTATATCGGCGGTCCCGACAATTGAGCAGCTTCTAAGGGAGTAAAGGACAAACAGATATCTCAAAAACTGAGAGATTACATAGTTCGCGTATATACAGACGGACGGTCGTACAGTCGGACATGGATAAATAAACTCAGCTCGTCATGCTGATAATTTATATATATATTTATATTTATTTTTATAGAATTTCCAACGTTTCCTTTTGGGTGTAACAAGCATTGTGGCTATCAATAAAATAGCCTTTTTGTGATATAATAAATAAATAAACTATTATGTACCACCGATCACCCTGACTGACTGTCACAAATTGTTATTATCGCTTTCAAAATAAAATCCTGAGCCAATAAAAGCACATCAGCGCTTAATCCAATCTTGTTATACACATGTTATAATCCTCGGCTGAGTGGGCGCCACAAACACAAAATTTCAAGCAAACTGACTGTCCCCATAGTAAAAATCGCCTGACAAACCTTTTGCGTCGTCACACAAACTTTAATTTGACATATAGAGATCAAACTTCATGCGTGCATAAATAGGGTTGTACTAAGCTCAGAAAAATTTTACCAATTTGCTTTTTCGCGCAGCTTATAAAGCCAATCAGGGTCAATTTTGATCAGATGGTATTTGAAAGGGCCAGACTTGCTCATCAACAAAATCTAAATTCAAGTAATACACCACCAAAAGAAATATATTCATAATTTGTAAACGACATCCATCACTTTTGTCCAGTATATGGGGGGTGGGCGTGATTGTTAACGGAAAATGTTGACACAATCACAATCAACAATAATTGTCATAACATTGAGAATAAAAAACTAGCCCTTTAGAAACATCCAAAACAACCAAAAATTCCATAGTTTGTTACCTTTTTGATAAAGTTTGGCAATAACAGATACGATTTTATTAGCGTTAAAAAGGTTATTAGCCTTCCATGTAGTTCATAACACCAAAAGTGTTAGTTCGTATTTATGCTTTTCATCCTTATTTCTATTTTTATTTATTTAGGTTCTTTAGTCAAATTATAAATATTAATCGCTGCTGTCAGGTCCGCAATGATTTTTAATCGTTTCTCGACGATGCAGTACTCCAATTGGCCTTTCCCGATTTCTCTGTTAATTGCAATTATTTTTATTAACTATTAACTTAGCCTGTGAATTTAATATACAATTTTTAGAGATTATCACTTCGCCGCTAACGAACAAAATTCCAAAAATATTCTCTTAAACCCTCTTGTTTTTACAGTTGAAAAACATTAATAGCAAACTTAGAAATTTTAAAATGTGTTGGCCGTTAAGCACTCCACTACTAAAATAATTTAAACGAAAGTAGTATGTAAACCATTTTAAATATCTTAAACAACATAAAACGCTTATATTTAAATGAAGTTCATATTTTCCTTAATAAAAGTTGTAAACGCAATACAAACTTTATAGTTCCGTCCACGAAAATTTAATTATGCACCCTCTGGAGATTTTCGCAAAATTAAGCACGCGTCCGAAAGTGCGTGGTGAGTTGGTGCGTGGTTAAAAGCGTGGTAGGATAACATCATGTTGGGCGTCACAGCTCACCTGTGAGAGGAGTAAAAGCGCAACAAATTTAAATATTATATTTGAGTACATACAGTAGTCCTCGAATAATATGACTTGAAACATATTTTAGGTTGCAATCAATAAAAATTCGTTAGGGAATCAATTCGCTCAATTATATAGTTTTTTATATAATATAATATTTAAATATTATGTTTAGCATAAAAAGTAATTTAAATGTTTAATAGATTATGTGAAAATGTTTTGTATGTATTAGCTATGAGCGGTGTCTACTGTACACATATAATTTAAACGAATATACACGCATACGTACGAGTATATGTTTGTTTACTTCACGCGACGCAAATAAACCTTACTGTATTTCATTTTTAAAATCTTGATTTAAATGACTTCACGTGTCACGAACCTGTTTCGCTCAGTTGGCACGCACAGTTTTGGGCTTCCTGAGAATATTGCATCAGTATTGTTATAATTTTAAAGTTGTGTTCTTAAATGTAGCTAAGGAATGTCAATACGCAGCTGTGTTGGCGAATTTCTCCGTTGTTTGTTTTATGTTAAGATTTATAATTTGGGAAATCCAGACGATACATGTCATTTTGCACAGTGGGTCGAGTAGTTAAAAGAAGTTCGTTAAAGAAAGTTAGCTAATATGACTCTTTGACTCATATAATAGCTGCTGCAACCTGCAGAAATTTTAAATGTTAACAGTTTGATATTTCTTTGGGGAGCTGTTCAGAATTTGCTCACGAAATATGCTCGATGGCAATTGCCCGATTTCGCCATTTGTAATATCAACCTCATCAAAGTGCCAAATAACTCGGAATTAATTTCGTCTCATCATACTAATTAGATTAATGTATACTATATATTTATCCCGATTAGATTTAGAAGTTATAAACAACCGTTAGGTTAACTGTGCAACACATTTCAACAATACAAAAATATTAATAAACCCCGTTTTTAGTTAGTTATAAAAACTCGTAAAATATAGGAGAACTATTATTGCGAATTAATCTCTAAAATCGTTCAACGCCATAGAGATTATCAATTATAATAACTCAAAAATTCGAAGATAACTTTATCCCGCTAATTAAACTTAATGAGAGAAATTCTAAAGAATTTTATTCATTTGTTATTGAACTTAGAGCTTAAAACGATTTTGTCAACAAAATTCGATTTTTTAGCTCTCATATTTATTTCATTTCATATCCAGCTGCAAATAAAACACCTCTTTTCTTTCAGGCCGAATCGCCATTGTTACCCACCAACAACAAAGACAATACCAAACCAGCGGAAACGAATAATAATAACAGCAACAACAATAATAATAACACCGTACCTAACCACATATCAGCGAAAGCACACCAACACAACTATACAGCCGTCGATACCACCGCAAACTCACCGATCCACCAAAGTTTCACAGAAACACACAATCACAATCACAGCCTTTACAACTCGACTAACATTACAGCCGCCTCGAGAGAGCCACTTTCAGCTAACAAACTTTATCTGGATGCAGTTGCACCGTCATCATCGCCTACCTCATCGGGACCGAGTATTTACGGCACACCGGCCAGTGAATGTCGGCGTCGCAATTCGGTCGCATCTTTACAGTTATTTGATGGTAATACGGTGACTATAACCACCACCACATCGACAACGATTGATGGCAGCGGTCAAACTGAAGAGAGCATAATCGATTTGGACGACAACGCGGATAATACGGACAGCGATAACTATAGCGAATCGAACGATAACAGTTATTCCACACCCACCACAGCGACACTGTATAGCAATTATCACTACACCCAAACTACTACACATACACACCAATATAATTCATATCCACAAGACTTCTTCTCTAGCATCGAGGGAGAACGACCGCAACATAGCTCGAAAATGAAGACGAAAGTCGACGCTGTTGGACGTATAACCGGAGAGTGGGGACGCTGGCAATTACGTACTGTATTACTGATATTTTTGTGTAAGATACCATCATCGTGGTTTATGGCGTGTATAATATTCACAGCTCCCGCACCGCGACATGGTGAATTCTTTTGTAAACCGCCGAATACGGTGGGAGCACAAAATGACACACTATGGATAAAGGTCTCACATCCACAAAAGGAAGAGGTGGATGATCAAGAATTTAGTATAGATTTTTGTAATATATACCAGGATGCACAAGAGCATGCTCATCACTATTACCGTTATGAACGACCCGAACTGGAACCGCGCGTATGGGAGGAGCCGACTTCGCGCAATATAAACATTATCCCATGCCAGCAGTTCGAGCATAGGGCCGAGTACCATTCGGTAGTGACGCAATACGATTTGGTGTGCTCGCGTGACATCCTGGTGTCAGTAACACAATTCTTCCATTTATTTGGCGTCCTCACCGGCGGCATATTGGCGAATCATCTGCTCAAATAGTAAGTAGTCTAATTTCAATTAATTCATAAGTTTTTGTTTGCCCTTAGGAAGTGTATATCTATTTACTTTTGTGCTTAAGGGTATATGTTGTTTCTAATACAGTTTTGTTACGTAAGTTTAAGTTAGATCATTTCAAAGCTGATACCATATCAGAGAAACACAGTTAAACAATATGTCATGTCATATAATGCCACGATTTCTGAGAATAAAGAATCCACTTTAATTCTGAAACTGTCAACAAAAATGTGCTAAAGACAATCTTATTCAATATTAGTTTCGCAAAAGCAGTGAAGTCAAGAAGAAAATGAGAAATGGCAAATAACTTTGTCAGTTGAGATTAGGAAACCTAACCACTTAGGTAGCAATAAGATAGAAACGAGCCAACCTTTTCTCTTAAATAAAGAGGTGTCTTACTATTTGAATCTAAGGTCCAATCATTGAAGCAACTAATAGCTAATAGAGAACAGTGCATTCCTTACATATAGTATAACTACATACCGTGATTTTAAAATGGGTACGCTGATATCTGCAGAAAATTTTGGTTCAATTTTCAACAAAAAAGTGCTTGGCACCCGATGAAAGATTTCGTAAAAACCGCTTGGCAGTCAATATGTTAAGGAGTGTTGAATTTTTCTCACTTAATAGTCACTATTCTATTACTTTGGTCTTCCGCACCCAACTTCAAGTGTAACTTGTTGTCAATATTGAAAATGTTCAGCTGAAATATCATGCAATGTTTCATACAAATAATATGGTCGTGAGGTTTTTGGTTTCCAGTTCAGAGATGGTTGTTATGCTTCCATCTACAGATAAAGCTCCATCTGCTGACTTGTGAGAATTTTACGGTGTAATTTAGGTTCAGGAAAATTAGTTTCCTAGTGAATGTAGTAGAATGAAATGAAGTTGTTTTTAAACTTAAGGGGTTTTTGGTATATAGTTTTGGTTAAAAGTATTTACTAGTCAACGAGCCACAAAATTTTGTTCAATCATTCATGACACATTCGAAATTACTCGTCTTCTAACCCACGCTTAAAATTCTTAGAGTCTTGGACAACAATAAATAATGTATGTATTCCTGAAACCCGAATGAACTTAGCGAGCGCTCTAACTAATACCAAATCTAAATCTAAAAAATATAACGAGCTCACTGTTATAGTGTGTTATATCTACCCTAACCTCATTTTAGCGGGATTAACTTGGTCCGGACATATGTACTAAATATTAAATACTAATATTTCAGAGTTTAACGATACTTACATGATAAATATAATTAACTGTCCTCCCCACAGCTTCAGTCCACGTAATGTGATGCTCTTCGGCATGGTATCGCAGATATTCTGTGGCAATCTGACGGGACTTGTAGCCTCATACGAGTTACACGTTTTCTTTCGCTGCTTGTCTGCGGTATGTTGTGCGCAGATGTACACAGCAGGCGGTGTAATAAGTAAGTTAAATGTTTAGTAAGCTTCTTGCAGGCTACTCAAGCTCACTTTTGCGTTTTCTCATTTCTACAGTGGCCGATATAACGGGAGGCGTTTATAAGACTTGCGTTTCGACACTCTTTGAACAGTTCTGGTCAATAGGTGTTATACTACTGCCCGGGGTGGCAAGTTTCTTCTCCAGCTGGTCGCATCTCTATATGGCCATCTCTTGGCCCACTGTGATACTCATATACTTATGGCGGTAAGTTGGAACATGTCGGTGTAGTAAAACTATTTTATATTTTTTTTACATGACAGTTGGATTCCCGATTCACCCCGCTGGATGATACAACGTGGTCGTGTAATAGACGCTAAAAATATTCTCATGCAATGTGTTGAGGTGAATGGCACACGTTACGGTCTTCCGCACGACATCGATCAGCAGCTGCAATTGCAGGCGCAAACCGCTATGGACGCACCGCCACCGCCAGGCTGGTGGTCGATATGGAAGGGTGAAAATGTCGTGCGCAATTTGATTTGTGTACATTTAGCGTGGTCCCTCTACATTGTCGTGTACTATGGCATGCTGCTGAACATACGTTCGTTCAGTCGAGAGCATCTCGAGGTGAACACGGCTGTGGCGGGCTTGAGCGAGATAATCGGCACTTTTATTGGGCTATTCCTGATATTGAAGACTACGCGCAAATGGTTGTGGACCGGTCTTTTCAATGTACTGGCCGGACTTATTGCTTATCTGGGTTGGCTGGTGCCAACAAACTGTAAGTTAGTCTCGTTATACAAATAGAACTGTTTAAATTTCATATTTCCTCTTTTCTTCCGCAAACGTTTAGTACCGTTCGATGCACGCGTTGCGCTGCTCATGCTTTCGGCCATGATCTCGAAAGTGGCCATCTCCACCACACTATCCATACTCACCACCTGCACCGTTGAGCTAGTAAGTGAGGATAAGCGCAAGATTACCGCATTCTCGGCGATATGTTGGGCACGTTTCTGGCTGTTGGGTGCACCATTTATCGGCGCTACTGTGATCTTTGGCATTATGGTACCACAAACAGCATTCGCGTCCCTCGCAATTATTGGTGGTGTTTTAACCTCCCTCATAACAAGTCCGCGTACGATAAGTAAGAAAGCGCTTGGCGGCAGCAATCGAGCGACCGCTACACAAGTGGATGGCATCGATAATAAAGGCTTCTCAACGGGACCGACACTCAAAAATCCGATATTTACCAGTATTACGAAACTGGCAGCACCCAACTCCAATTTACCGCCGCAAATGGTGCCCGGTGTTTGGACGACGAAACATCATGAAGACAGTCCACCCGTCTAATGGCCGACAGAGGTCGCTACTAGTAGTTCGCTTCACACACAATTAGACTCTATAAGTAGTAAACTTAAATAAATTTTATTTCGAACAAATTTATTTTAACCATAGCATAGGTAGAGAATCGAACTCACTCATTTTGGAGACCTCGCTTGCGCCGTATGTTACAATTCTGTTCACACACTTTTTCTTTGTTAAACAGTTTCCTTAAAAAAGTCATAATTAATAAATACAGTTATAGTTCAAAAGAAATGAGATAAAGCTATAAGCAAACATATTTATATGAAGACATTATGTATAATATTATATAACTAATGAACAAATATAAATGTATATATTAGGGTGCTACTTAAGTGGAGAAGGACGGTTTTTAAGGCTCAACCTGACTATAGTCTGAGTTATATATATAGTTTTTTTCTTGATAGGATATTATTGATGTGTATCAGATGCAGGGTTGCAAATTTTTAACTAAAACAACTGGCGGAAAAATCAGATTTTCAGTTTTTAATTTTAATGAAAAGGGACAAAAAAGGAAAGATTTATATATCTCCAAATAAAAAATTAAATAAAAATATGACAAAAAAGCTAAAAGTTGTTGATTTTTTACTAAGCTTTCCTTTTCAAAAATAAAACGAAGATTAAATTGTTTTTGTGTTCAATCAGGAATTTGAGAATAATAATTAAATTTTAATCCGATTTTTGGGATTAAAATTTTTTTTTCCGGTATTGGAGAATTTTTTTTTTTTTGGATAACGAATTTAAAAATTATTTTTAATTAAGATTTTCAGGATTACAAAAAAATTTTATTTATATATAAATTCAATTATTTCTTATTTGCAATGCATATTTGCAACCCCATTGGGAGTCTAAGTTTCAATACCTTTATCGAAACTAAGAAGATTCAAAATTTATTTTCTCTTATGCTCAGAAGCGACCCTACGATCAGTGCGACACACCACAACTATTTCCTATCAGTACCAAATTTTATGTCATACCATGGACTATAATAGCAACTGCTCATAGTTAGAAAAATATAATTTATTTGACTTTTTAGGATCTACCCTAATATAATAAATTATAAATATTAATTTTGTTCTTAAAAACTAAATACCTATCTGAGAAACCATATAATGAGAGTAAGAGATACAAATTTATGATATAAGTCTATTACCTATATTATAATAATATAAATATACCATATATGTATATACCAAGTTTAGGGAATTCATATGCAATTAATTATGTATTTCCCACAAAATGTGTTTTTGAATTGTTAACTCTTTTGGAAAGATTTTTAAATACACAAACCTTATATTTTCGAAAACTAAATACTATGTCTAAATTAGTTTATTCACCAGAAAATCTTCACTGCAAAACACGCCTTAAATGCACAAACTCAGCTTGAATAGAATTTGAAATTACATGCTCATAAAATATCTGCTGTTAAAACGACTGAAAGGATATTCATACAAAATAGCGGTGCTTTACAATATAAAGAATATACCAATTAACTACCAAATATATATGCAAACAATTATATATGCACGTGTATATGTATGTATGTGTGTAAGTAAACTTCAATTATAAAATATCCACACATATGTAGTCCATTTCAATTCGTCAATCACTTCATCAATTATATGATTGACAATGTTAGATCCGTCCAACTGTTGGTATAGGTCCTCTTCTCCGTTATTTTGCAAATACCATAGGTGCAATAAAAGTGACCGAGTCCGAAACACTTTAAGAACTGAATTCATAAACTTCATTCCTCAACCAAAACAGCAGAATAACCATCGGCTTAAATTTTCAATTCTTTTTAAATTGTTTAAATATTTTATTACTTTCCAATTGACTTTTAACCAAGAATAAAAGAAAGAGAGATAAGATCAATTTTGTAGCGTTACTTTTTTGAAAGTCGTTTGACAGAAAAATAATTTAGTTCGTGACGTCACGAACGAAGGGAAAGCAATTACTGAAAAGTAATTAACAAGCAGCTTATTATGACAGTTATGCCAAAAGATGTATCGCTTTTTGCCTGAGCTTTTCCATCAGTAGCTTGAAATCTGACACAGTTATAAAAAATGGGCAATTTTAGCCTTAAAGCAAAATATTAGCTCTAGTGTGTAGTCTTTATTTTATTATTTTTATTTAAAAGGTTTAAAAATTTAATAACACTACATTTCAATCATTTTGTCATCAAAGTTAGGTTTAAGTTTCAGCCAAATAAATTTAAACAAAAAAGTGTTATTTTTCGAAGCCGAAATATTTACGACATACACACATGCATACATATGGGTACAACAATTATAACTGTGTTGCTGGAACTGTTTGCCTCGCACTATTTGAAACATATGTACATATGTATGTACATATATACAATACATAATTCTTCAATGCACATCAAGCTTTAGTGATCTAAACAGAAGTACAAATATTAAGTAATGTGTGTTTGAATACTAAAACCAAAAAAAAAAAACAAAAACGAATTGCTCTTTATTCAACAGTAGAATTGAAATCAGATTTTTTTCAATATGAAATGATCGATAGTCATAGTCGAAGTACACGTACTAACTTTAAAGCCTGGGTTTTTCAATTGTTAATACGGCCTAATGTGTTTTTGGCAGGGACTAACCAGTTTAAAAAATACATTAACAGAGCTACATATACATATTTACTATAATAAAATATTATCAAGAGTAGTGAAATTCTATGTGTATTCATACTTATTCAGATAGCAGAACAATTTTTATTTTTGTTTTGATCATAATTTATCTTATGCACGTAGTTTGATCGATATCATTTAAACTGGATGTTTTTGAAAAAATTCTGAAATTAAAAAACTAAAACTATATTAAAAATTATATATAAAAACACATATTTTGGTGGATTATTTTTCAATTTATTTTTGTTGACAGTTTTTGGCGGATATAAATCCCGGTACGCTCCGAATACGTCAAACAAATGCCGCGTAGTACCGAAGGAAAGCGTCATCAAAGCATTTGGTTTCCAATGTTATTAATATGAATACCGTTAAATTTTCTAAAAATTTATTGAAGCTCCATTTAGCTATTATCTTTCTTTAAAGAAATTAATTTAATAATATGGTCTAAGTAGCTATTTAAGTATTAACAATATATATATTGTTTGCATATTTTAGAAATTTAGAAATTAAAATCTCAAAAATTTATGCAAACAGTCAATTAAATTTTAATACTAAATAAGCAAGAAATCTAATAGAAATGGTGCTTTAAAATAGTTAAAGAGTTACCTAAAATAACAAATGGTAAACTTAGGTTCAATAAAAGACACAAATAACTATTTTCAATAAGTTTAATTTACTAAATAATAAAAGACAAATAAAATTCCTAAGAAACTATAGAAACTTTTAAATACTATTCGTTTGTAATACTTAGGTAAAATGTTTCTGAAATTTGCAACACTTTGAGAATAGCATGCACCTCAAACAATATTACAGCAACAATACCATGTATTAGTCGAGATAAATAAGCTCTCTAAGTACATAATTGCATTCGTCTGTACATACGTTTGTATGCAAGCGCAAGTGAAGTTGGAATGTTAAATGTATTTGAAAAATATATGTATGTGTGTTTTTAACAATAGGAGCTAAATTCTGTAAAAGAGCAATATTTTTTTAATAAAACGGGCGAAAATATACTGGAAAATTGTGTTTTCCATTTATTTGTATTTTTCATAACCGAAATTTTAATTTTTCATTTAAACTTTAATCCCATTCATAGCTTCTTTAATTTTTATTTTTATTGAATGATTATTATTTCTTTAATCTGCCAAACTACGTAGCAGCCGCGTAAATAAGGCGTAACCGATTTCACGTTATTCGGATCATCTTGATCAGACTTGCCAATCTGATAGCATTTCCGCAAACTATGTATAAAAGGAATTATTTTGTCTGCGCAAAGTTGTGTTAGGAGGTATAAAATAATAAAACTGCTCTATCGACAGATTGGATTTTTGTTAAGAAGGTGTTAGATATGTTTGGTGAAATTTCTAAATTGTACCAACTTTTATTCGACAAAAGGCGGATATTTCAGCGAAGTAATCCTATTTCGATCAATATCTTCATATATGCTCAGTGAGTCAGTCGGCAACTCAAACTCATGTCGAGGATTTATGACAAAAAATTAAAAAAAAGGTGGCGGTTACAATTGGTAAATAACCTTAATTATTTACCTTTTTTGGTAAAGCTTCCTTGGTTACTAAATTTTTATTGAATCCGACCTTCTTACTTGAGGCAACCGGATTCTTTTGCTTCCGTTTTCCTTAGTTTTGCTTCAGTTGCTGCAGCTCTGATCAAATTAACTACGAAAATATACATTGTTCCATTTAATTTTGGAAACAAGAAATTATAAGATAGAAATATAAATGTGCTGGTCTTGCGTAAGTAAATTAAATACTACAAAAGAACCTGCTGGGTACAATTCAGGTTAACTTATACTGTACTGGGAGACTTTCTTTTTTTAAAATATGATTGTAATGAGCACATTGCAGAGTTATGACCGGAAGATACCACTTACCCCTTTTCCTCCACATAGCGTTGGGATGATTTGGATGTTTGACACAACCGGAAAAGGAATTGATTTTAAACATACAAGTAAGTAACTATTTGTTTTACATAATATAATATTATGTTTAAGATGCTGATCAATATTCTAAATTTCCAATCACAATGTACTTAGATCTATATCCTTAAATCTGTTTTAATATAATACTCGTTTTTACAATTAATATTAATATATAGTATGAGTGCATTTCCTTCAATCCCACACATTTCATTTGTCAACAATGTCGCCAATATGTGTGCATCGAAACAGGGTGAACTTTTTAGGATACGACTAAGGACTACACAATTTGATGACATCAAACATTTAAAGAAAAAAAGACACAATTTCTATCAAATCCATTTAATTAAACAACTAAAAAAAACACAAATTTAAAACATAAATTCATCATCAATTTTATTGACTTAAAAGTTTCCACACACAGATGGCGCTGTAATCGAAAAAAGAATGTCAATGGTTATAAGTATTATTTTGCTCTAAATTTAAAATATTACTATAGAATTCTAGAACGCCATATCTGTTTGCAAAGAACTTAACACGTAAATCAGAAATTTATTAAATAATTTATTTCTAGCCGTAAACAGTTTCAGTTAATACCTTTTTTATTATCAGGCATAATAATTGCACTGGCAACAACCCGATTCGCTCGGAAAGTTGGCTGCAATTTCTCATGTTTGTTAAAATCAAATTGAAACGGGAATCTCTATAAAGTGAGTCCAACTGTATATTATTTTGTGATTTTCTGCAAACATATTGAAATAGTTTGTCATACAATTATATAAGAATTGAACTAATAACTGAATTACCTAAATAATAAAGTTATTGCTTCCTTATTTGATTTTTTACATAAAAATCGCCAAATGGAATGCTTTGAAAACAAAGAAGCGCGAACCGCTAACTATGGTGATCACTCTACTGAAGCGCCAAAGTTAAATTGCATCGCAGTTAATCGTGCGGTATTAAAGGAATTGAATTCCAACAATGAAAACAATTTGGTAAGCGAAAGATGCACACATATAAATCAACGCATTTAAAATGTACCTCTCATATAATAATATCATTTTATAACAAGTTTGTAAGTTTTCCAGAAGAAACCAAATTACTACATAAATACTTTTAACATATTTATCTTCAATAATTATTAGTAATAAGACAATGATTCACGTAGTAGTGGTTATTAAAGGTAGTTAGGGCTTTTTATAATTATTTTTACACAAATCATGTAGTAATCCAGTTTGTATGTAAGTATGTACCAAATAGCACTATCAACTATGTGTATCATATTATGTACGTTATGGACATAAATCCAGATGTCATTCGGTTCCCTTGACTATTTCAAACTGTGCTAAGTTTTGTGTAAAGGAAATGAAATTCATAAATTATTTTTGGTACTTATTTATAGCCAGTAATAAATTTCTAATAAAGTACACAATTTATTTGAAGTTTATTTTTTAATAAAATAAGTAAAATACAATAAAATGAAGTGTAAATTTGTACAATGATAACAAATAGTATATAGTTATGAATCCGGGTTCATTCAAATTACGCAGACGGAGCTGTGGTGGTCTTTAATTGGAACAATTATTGTTTGCGCACTGGCATACTGCGAAACAAACTATTTAAATTAAGCAAAAAAATCTAGGCACCTGATGCCAAAGGAGTCGACATTGACATGAACAAGATTTGAACAAGCTATTTCTCCTTCAGGAGCTGCTCATTTGTCGAAACCGCCAATGTCGGACCACTATAAGGTATAGCTGCCATACAAACTGGTCGAATAAAGTCAAGTCCCTATATGGAAAACTTTTTTTATTTGATATGTAGCTGCCATTCAATCTGACCGCTCAAAATCAGAATGAAAATCGTTTAAACCCTTTTAGTTCTATAAAAAATGTACAAGTGAAGGGTATTATAGCTTCGATGTAGCCGAAGTTAAAATCACTTTTTAGTTTTTGTTATTTTAGAGATAAAACACCTTAGAAATCAACTGGCAAAGTTCCTTTTTGCTTAAATGGATTAAAGCTGTATACATTGACAGAACAAACCTGTATGCAGATGTTGATCATGTTCTTAAATATTTTTGTTACTCTAAAATTCTGCCAACCTCATTTCACTTGCAGTTTTCGACGGCATGCTGGACGCAGCCGAATTTAATTTGTTTACCTCATTTCTACACAAATTTGTATTTATTTTTTAATTAATCATGTGCACGTACCATATATAACATATATAATATGTATGTATGTATATTACTTTCGCAAGTTTGGCTGGAATTTTTTTTATATTTTTGTTATCGTGGAATTTATTGCATTTCTTTTTAGCAGAATGCTTATGGGAAGTCGAACCGCTGGGCCATAAAAATACAAACAATTCGTGCATAGCCATTGTATCTATTTGCAATTCTTTCATTATATTTTCTTTGCTATACGAGTATATGACACACCATAAGCTGCCGCATCGCTGACGACGCTGCAAATGCCTTTTTAATAGGCAGTCCATTTTTGTTGCTGCTTCCACTAAGCAATCGAACTTTTTACTATTTCGTACACAAAATATCGAATAATGGCCGGGAGAGTTGTGGACACAACGGAGCGACGCGTTCTGACCATAGTCAGCCCGCACGGGAAGTTAAATGCCGCTTTTGTGTTCGTACGACGAGCAATGCGACTCCATATAATTTTGTACAGAATGAAAGCATAGTATAAGTGATCTACAACGTCATGATCGCCGATGCTGCTACTGATTGTTTTGCTTTCATTAACGCTGTCGGCGTCCAATAACACCGCAACCAGCCATGCCACCCATCAAACTTTCTGTCTGCTTGCCTGCTTGTCTGTCCGATCGTCCACCCGATCAAGCTCGTTCAGCTGGCAGTAAT